TTAAGCGATCGTAGAGCTCTGAGTTGGCAGCTCCGCTTTTGCTGTCTGTCCATCATCTAATGAAAATCGTATAGATATTGTCAAGGTAATGGTGTCACATGTTTTTAACGTCATGTCATGTGACAGTGAAACAATGGACTTATGACGTCACAACTAGTAATTGTGTCTGGCATTGAGACCTCGACGTATCACTGGCGCCGACGCCCGTGGTTACTCCGCACAAAAACTGGACCCGAGGCACACCATACATGTGACCAGAGAAAAGGAGGGGGCGTGCGGGTGGCAATAGATGGGAGCTTCTGTGACAAAACATAAACAGAAAAAAAATCATGTGACATGTACCAGAAGACGGTCCCCAAGTACGTCATCGGATTACTCATCAGATAGTGGAGATAGCAGTGATTCTTCTGTAGATTCTGATGGATCAACGAACCAGTCTCATGAAGAGAGGACATCGACTCCATGTGCTGCCGACGAATCTACATTCTCGGGAAAAGACCCAGGGGAGTACAAATATAATTCAAAGCAAGATTACAATCAGAAAGATAGACCAAAAGAAAGCATTTTTGTAGAAACATCGGAATTTCCTTATGCCAGAGCAAAGTTAGTCCATCCTCAGACCAGCCGAGAACACCAAGAAGCTAGGAGCGAGGGACGGCGCAAAGAAGGCATATCATCGGGTCAGCAAACATGGAGTCCGAAACCTTCTCTCCTACCTCGGCCAAAACAACAGGAAAATCATGTTATGTTTGCCGGGCCTAGTCAGAGCCGAGCAGAAAGGACCATCAACCCACACATTCTGTGGAATCTACACTCCAATGGAAGCGGTATCAACGTCGTTCCGTGTACTGAAGTATCCCGTCGAAATAGTGACCACATGCCTGTCGGCACGTGGAGAAACCCAAACCGGGTGCACACATACTTTCGCGAACAGACCGCTAGATCAACTAACGAGCCTGTGCCGACTAACGACGACGTGTGTCACCGATGTGCACGTGCCGTCCGACCGCCAACACCGTGCGTTAACGTTCCCGTCAATACAGCAATGTGGTCCAGTGCCGCGAACAGTGGGGCGGTGTTAGGGTACAGCGGCGAGGAAAGAAAGGCATTGATAAGGGCACAGTACAAGGTGGAGCTAGATGCTATCAGGCAGATGACCAACCAATACTCAAGGATGTCCAGTACTGGACACAGGTGAAGCTCGTCGACTGAATCATATATGCTGAAAAATGTTTCACAGCTACGGTAGCTGTGTACGTGTTGTTGATCAGTTCTGATATATTAAAAAATAATCTTCATGAAACACATGAAAAGTCGTATTACCGATATCATGCTTATTTTTTGCGGTAATAAAATATTTAATTTATTTGCCTAGTAGCATTATTATTTGGTAAACACAGTCGTATATGTTACATGTATCATGTCATATACTGGTCTCTGGTAAACATGTACATAAACGTCGCATAGAAACACTTATTGGTTGTGTAACAAAACACATTTAATAATGTACATAAGGCCTCAGTCACACATTCAGGATTTTTACTGCCGTCCTTTATAGGACCATTCCCGATTAAAATTTGTCAAAAGTCTGATCAAGATCCTGTGATTCGTGGCGGGAAATTCACAAATTTGTAATAACATTTATTTAATCACGACAACAATAAGATATTGTTCAGGAAGCGTCCCGATTCAGCCGTTTCCAGCCGAATTCATCCCGATGCTCCCGTTCTCAATCCTAATATGATCCTATTTGTATCTTCAGCATGGTAAAAAACGACCGAATCTGTCCAAAATCATTAGGCAGACACCGGATTTCCGTGTCGTCTCCTAAACAATACTGCGCATCACAAAGAGAAGTACTTTCTGGAGGCGGAAGGAATCTTCTCAGAATCCTGACAACACCATCAAGAATCTCTAATAATAAGTAATAGACATTATTGTAAGATTACCACGTGCCATAGAGAAATCACGGTGTCATATACTAGCTGGACTTACTGAGCGACTGAAGTCTATTTCGGTCCCAAAATTCGGGAAACAATGTCAATAAGCGTCTTGTGTAGGTGTTTTTTCAATGCACACATTTCAAACTATTTCATCTTGATGAACTCTCGTTCCAGTAATTATTGTTGCATAACACTTATACTGAATTATATGAAAATGAATTAGAAGTAAAGTAGAGTTACACAGTCACGGCGTCAACAAAAGGTCAATAAATGGAATGCCATTGATCAAAACACGATGTTTTTGAATCTGGACAGAACACCAATGGGACCATCCATAAGGAACTAAATTGCTCCGGGACTGTAAACGTCCTGGACATATCTGATGTACATGTTAGGGTTACTCACGACTCGAGTAACTAAGTTAGCATCTAAATCATGACGATTCTACTTCAAAATAGTGTTACCTGTACCTCCATTTTACACAGGTTTTCTTTAAATAAACAAGTTGATTGCACCAATAATTTGACAGGCGAATTCTGTCAGCGTTATTGTGAGCTAAGACAATGTGCAAAAATACTTTTGTTATAATTTCTTATCTTTTGAATCTGACATCATTGGAGGAAGGTTTGTTAAAGCTCATAACTTTCTGATGCTTAAAAAAACAAAAAAAACAAAGTTTAACCACTATAGATAAGTTCATGTAGCACAACCAGTGAAGTGTTAATGTGGACGTTTCGACGACACGTACAGTATTTACTGTGCCACCTTCATCAGACAAATGATGATGTACAGAGTATATCAGCCTCCTCATCTCGATTCATGACTGGCCCCCTTGAACAGACTGATAAAGGAAGTTGTCTGGATACACCGCAGGAGGTCAGCCATGAATGAGATGAGGTGGCTCATAGACTCTTGTACATCTATGAACAGGTATTTTTTTTTTTTTGGTGAGGTTTTAATTCAAAAGTTAGCCATATATCAATTTGACAAATTATCTTTGAGCTGGTTTCAATCTTATCTCTCTCACCGGTTTCAAAAGTGACTGTATCTAATCATATTTCTAAAAGTAATCAAATTACTCATGGTGTTCCACAGGGTTCCATAATAGGTCCCCTGATGTTTCTTAATTTTATTAATGATTTACCTCTTGGGCTAAAATCAGGTGCAGATATGTATGCTGATGACTCGACTCTGAGTGCATCTGGAAGTTCTATTTCTACTGTACAGGATGAGTTACAAGCTGATCTGAGTAAAGTCCAAGACTGGTGTAATGAGAATAAATTGATTCTAAATAGGAATAAAACGAAATGTATGGTTATTGCCACAAAACAGAAACTTAACAGAATAGATGATGCGCTAAGCCTAATATTAGATCAGGAATATATTGAACAAGTAAAGATTTAAAAACTTCTTGGTGTAAAAATTGACAACAGTTTATCTTGGTTAGATCTCATAGCATCTGTTGTTTCAAAGATTAACAGTGGTTTGGGTTTACTTCGACCATCCATCAATATTTACCACTTTCAGCTAGACTTAAATTTTTTCATGCATGTATTTTTCCCCACTTCATGTACAGTAGCACAGTATGGAGCGGATGCTCTTTAAATCTTCTACAAAAACTGTCAAAAGCGCAGAAACAAGCTGCAAGATTACTGATGGATGCTCCATTTGATACACCATCAGTAGAAATGTTTTCTTCATTAGGGTGCACGTGGTTACCAATTGGCGAATATTTGAAATTCAAAAGAGGTGTTATGGTGTACAATGTATAAATAATCTAGTTCCAGGATATCTTTCTAATCAATTTAATTTGTCTAACAACAGATATACTAGATCAGCATCCCAAAACTCTGTCAAGGTACCCAAACACTGTACCACATTTTATTCCAAACACTTTTTGGTACAAGGGAGCCAGATTTGGAATAATTTACCGGTTGAAGTACGACTCTCTTCCTCCTTGACAAAATTCAAACAAAATATGATTGGTAACATTAAGAATGCGGTTTAATTGTCTTTTATTTTTACTATTATACTTTTTAGATACAGCTTTGATTTGTTTTATTTTCGCTTTATTAGCGTGTGTTCTGTCAATTTTTAGCTTTTGCTACATTAGCATATATGTAAATTAGACAATTTGTCTTTTAATAAAAACCATAATGGGTTAAGCACGGAATATATTTCGTGCTTCTGTGATAATTTTATTGTAATTGTATTATGAAATAACTGTGATATAAATTGCTGTTTTAGTAGACCAACAATTATTTTATGTACATTGCTTTGCTGTGATACTACTTCGTCTTTTAACTAACCAATTTTACTAACAGAGAACCCGGTGGAAGATTAGCTTTGCTAAACAGGTTTTGTATCCTCAATAAATAAAGTTTATTATTATTATTATTATTATTATAGCATCCTTGGGCCAAGGGGACTCAATTTTGTATAAACAGTGGGTGTGGTCTCCAAGGGGGCAGAAGGGCGGGGCCCAATAGGGGAAATTGAGGTAAACCTTTAAAATCCTTCTTCTACCATAGGGATGAAGGGATTATTTCCCAATTTGGTCTTGAGGACCTTGGGCAAAAGGGACTCAATTTTGTATAAACAGTGAGTGTAGCCCCCCTGGGGTCAGAAGGGTGGGGCCCAATAGGGGAAACATAGCAAATTCTTCAAATACCTTCTTCTTCTGTACGAATGACAGGATTTTGTCCAAATTTGGTATGAACGGTGTGTCTTTCCCCCTGGAGGCAGAGCACAAGGGGAAATTGAGGTAAAACCTTTAAAATCCTTCTTCTACCATAGGGATTAAGGGATTTTATTCTTATTTGTTCTGGCTATATCTCAAGTTCTGGATGGATCTTTCTGAAATTTCATATGTTCTTACAGCACCTACCATGGAGTGCTATATCTTTAGTTCGTACCAATTATTTCAAAAATATTCAGGCCCTTTGGACCTCTTGTTTTATTATTTTATATGAAATTATACACGTTTTTAGAAGAAAGGAAGAGGAGCTTTTTTTGTGTTTTTTTTGTTTCCCAATGTAATTAACACACAACAACAAACTCTGTGTTCAAGATTTATTTTTCAACAAATATTTTTACAGTTTGGTTCTTGGAAAACCTTGACCCACAAGTAAAGACTTAATTGCTGTTTTTTCAAGCTAGACACCTTGTAAGCATTATAGCCAACACCACATATAAGTAAAAGTAGACCTTACCACAGTAGCACAATAAACACCATAGTTACAGAGCTTGCTCTGTCTCTAGCAGCAATCTTACATTACAACTACAGCACATGATGTACAGGTATTGAAGCACTAAATGTCTGTCACTTTAAACTTGTTCCTGATCTGATAACAAACCTGTTATCTTACAAAATCTCGCAGGATTTTACAAAATCTGTAATATCCATCATTGTTGTTTTCGATGAAGTTTTTAAATTAGTCCATGATTTGAATCCAATGAAAGCAGAGATCTGCGACTCACAGTTTAACCCATGTGATTAGTTATTGACACGCTAGTATTTGTCAAGTGTCTGGATACTTGACATGTTCATTTCAGAAAAGCCACTCAATCTAAATGGCAGTGTGTCACTTGAATTTTGCAAGACAACAGTTAAACTTTCCAACATCAATATTGCACAGTTGATTTTCTATCATTACCACCAACAACAGATTAAAGTCGACCAGTCTAGGTGTTATCTAGATGTGTCTGCAACATCCATCACGTAGGATATTGCAGTTTTCTTTGAATCTGATTCACTCAATATATTGTTGTAGGTGAAATGGTATAAAAGTATGAGATTCTGTTCCTCAGCCAGATACAGCCTGCTCTGTGATGGAGCACCAGTCAGCGAGTTTCCCCGAGAGTTGGTAACTGTCTCTCGTCACTGATCGGCTTGGTAAAGTCTCCAATGACCCCATCATAGCACCTGATGGAAAAACAAAAGGCAAGATATCTGTGTAGACTTCAAAGTTGGTTTTTACAAGGAGAACTGACTTTGATTTTGATAATTTTTATGAAGTTTATCTTTTCAAAAAGTACTGCATTGTAGGAGGTACTGTATAGAAGGGCAGTTTGTAAAGAAATCCTTCTTTCTTGTATTATCTTGTATTAAAGCATATCTTGTATACTGTTCCATTTCTGAGATAAACTAATGTGTGATACATTGTTATTCAGTTTGTCAAACCAGAAAGTATTGGTCATTAACGTGGCAAACAGCAGGAATCAATCAATAATGAGGATGACAGCAGGTTTTTGTCATCACTAGCGGTGAGTGATGAGGCAACTGCAATCACTAGTCATAAATGAAGCTGACCACATTTACCACCCATTTACAGCACATTTTAGACAAATCTTACCCCCAAGCCATGCAGCATAGTTTTCCTTTGCTGGCAGCTTGTGGAACTTGAATGTCCGGATGGACAACTGTTCCCTGTACTTGGGTTTCCTGAGGAGGTCGTAGAGTTCTGATCCAATACGATGGTGGAACCCCTTCAGCATGGATGTGCCGCCGATAATCACAATGTTGCTTGCCAACTCCAGACGCATGTCTATGGGACACTGAATTAAACAAGTGGCTTATTTCACACTGTACTGGGTCATTTCCATGCACTGTATTTGTTTATGATTCACAATAGTTATAGATTCCCTATGGGTCTTTTAAAAGATGACTTGTTAAATATTCATCAGTTTAATATATTCAACATTAACTTGTTCCTACAGTTACAAGAGATCACAGTCTTGTACATCATAAGTAACAGAAGGTTTTACAGAGCAATGCTATTTCCAAACACAATGGTTTTAGTAGAGGGATTACTGGAAAATACTAATTCCGTGCTGAGAGTTAAAAGTTGAAAAATTACATTCAGAGATCATGTAGTAGTGGAGTGGAGGGATATTGCCTTTGTCTAAATTGGCAAGCCAATTAATGTCAACTTAATGAATGAAAGTAGATGTTATAATTAGTGTTACTAGTAAATAGATAGGAATCCAACAGATTTTTGAGTCAAGGATTAATCGTTTTTGAGTTAAAGGAGTCAAAATTATTTTCTGACTCCAAGCTGATATTTTATGTTTATGAATGACATTGCTTGGAGTGGAGGGATTGCCGATCCATGTTAATTCTCCTACTGATTGTTTTGAGTGGAGGGATCACATTGCTTAGGGTTGGATACACTGTTAAAGATTATTTTTTTATAGTAACTGTGTTCTTCAGAAATCCCAAAGCCAGCACTCCTATCAAGACAGCCATGTATGAAGTATATGACTGACTGAACCAAAGGAGGTCACGATATTGTGTGAAATCTAATTTTCTTTTTTTAATAAGTGACTATGGCCTTTGATATTTTGACCTTAAAAACAGTCCAAATGCTTCGGGCAAGGAAGTCCTGTACATGTATTAAGTTTGAGAAACACACAAGGGGACTCAGGTGATTGTACATTGAATCCAGATGGACAGATGCCATTACAATACCCCTGTGATCTTTGATGTGGAGGATAAGGTCAGATTTACATGATAATTTTTTAGAATAGCATTACCTAGTCTAATGACCATGACAGAGTGAAATCAATCATTCACACCAACCTTAAGGATGGCATCTAAGATGGAGGTTGTCACAGACTGCTCCTCGTTATCCTGTTCAAACAGCACTTCACAGCTTTGTTCCCTGTAAACAAACAATGGACCAAGAATTATGAACAGCAAATCAGTGATGCTTGAATATAAGTAATCTAAGTAAACTTATTGAAGTAACAGAAGTATTTGTTCCTTAAATTATTCTTTTTAATTTACATTACATTTCTAACACTGCCTTGTACTGACCGGACTTTTCCAGTGATGTTTAGAACTTTGCCGCCATCCAAAGGGTACTGGACACTGGGAGGAGGAGTGGGCAGCTACAACAAATATGTAGACATTTATACAGGGTTTAACAGGTTTACCTATCACAGGGAGGAGTAGACAGCTACAACAAACATAGACATTTATACAGGGTTTAACAGGTTTACTTGTCACAGGGAGGAGGAGTAGACAGCTACAACAAACATGTAGACAATTATACAGGGGTTAACAGGTTTACTTATCACAGGGAGGAGTAGACAGCTACAACAAATATGTAGACATTTATACAGGGTTTAACAGGTTTACGTATCACAGGGAGGAGTAGACAGCTACAAAACACATGTAGACATTTATACAGGGTTTAACAGGTTCACTTATCACAGGGAGGAGTAGACAGTTACAACAAACATGTAGACATTTATACCGGGTTTAACAGGTTTACTTATCACAGGGAGGAGGAGAAGACAGTTACAACATACATGTAGACATTTATACAGGGATTAACAGGTTTACTTATCACAGGGAGGAGTAGACAGCTACAACAAATATGTAGACATTTATACAGTGTTTAACAGGTTTACTTATCACAGGGAGGAGTGGGCAGCTACAACAAATATGTAGACATTTATACAGGGTTTAACAGGTTTATTTATCACAGGGAGGAGGAGTAGACAGCTACAACGAACATGTAGACATTTATACAGGGTTTAACAGGTTTCCTTATCACAGGGAGGAGTAGACAGCTACAACAAATATGTAGACATTTATACAGTGTTTAACAGGTTTACTTATCACAGGGAGGAGTAGACAGCTACAAAAAACATGTAGACATTTATACAGGGTTTAACAGGTTTACCTATCACAGGGAGGAGGAGTAGACAGCTACAACAAATATGTAGACATTTATACAGGGTTTAACAGGTTTACGTATCACAGGGAGGAGTAGACAGCTACAAAACACATGTAGACATTTATACAGGGTTTAACAGGTTTGCTTATCACAGGGAGGAGGAGTGGGCAGCTACAACACACATGTAGACATTTATACAGGGTTTAACAGGTTTACTTGTCACAGGGAGGAGGAGTAGACAGCTACAACAAACATGTAGACAATTATACAGGGGTTAACAGGTTTACTTATCACAGGGAGGAGTAGACAGCTACAACAAATATGTAGACATTTATACAGGGTTTAACAGGTTTACCTATCACAGGGAGGAGGAGTAGACAGCTACAACAAACATGTAGACAATTATACAGGGGTTAACAGGTTTACTTATCACAGGGAGGAGTAGACAGCTACAACGAACATGTAGACATTTATACAGGGTTTAACAGGTTTGCTTATCACAGGGAGGAGTAGACAGCTACAACAAATATGTAGACATTTATACAGTGTTTAACAGGTTTACTTATCACAGGGAGGAGGAGCAGACAGTTACAACATACATGTAGACATTTATACAGGGATTAACAGGTTTACTTATCACAGGGAGGAGTAGAAAGCTACAACAAACATGTAGAAATTTATACAGGGTTTAACAGGTTTACTTATCACATGGAGGAGTAGACAGCTACAACAAATATGTAGACATTTATACAGTGTTTAACAGGTTTACTTATCACAGGGAGGAGGATGCAGTTACAACAAACATGTAGACATTTATACAGGGTTTAGCAGGTTTACTTATCACAGGGAGGAGTAGACAGCTACAACAAATATGTAGACATTTATACATGGTTTAACAGGTTTACTTATCACAGGGAGGAGGAGACAGCTACAACAAACATGTAGACATTTATACAGTGTTTAACAGGTTTACTTATCACAGGGAGGAGGAGTAGACAGTTACAACATACATGTAGACATTTATACAGGGATTAACAGGTTTACTTATCACAGGGAGGAGTAGACGGCTACAACAAACATGTAGACATTTATACAGGGTTTAGCAGGTTTACTTATCACAGGGAGGAGTAGACAGCTACAACAAACATAGACATTTATACAGGGTTTAACAGGTTTACTTTACATTACATTTCTAACACTGCCTTGTACTGACCGGACTTTTCCAGTGATGTTTAGAACTTTGCCTCCATCCAAAGGGTACTGGACACTGGGAGGAGGAGTGGGCAGCTACAACAAATATGTAGACATTTATACAGGGTTTAACAGGTTTACTAATCACAGGGAGGAGTAGACAGCTACAACAAACATAGACATTTATACAGGGTTTAACAGGTTTACTTTACATTACATTTCTAACACTGCCTTGTACTGACCGTACTTTTCCAGTGATGTTTAGAACTTTGCCGCCAACCAAAGGGTACTGGACACTGGGAGGAGGAGTGGGCAGCTACAACAAATATGTAGACATTTATACAGGGTTTAACAGGTTTACCTATCACAGGGAGGAGGAGTAGACAGCTACAACATACATGTAGACATTTATACAGTGTTTAACAGGTTTACTTATCACAGGGAGGAGTAGTGGGCAGCTACAACAAACATGTAGACATTTACACAGGGTTTAACAGGTTTACTTATCACAGGGAGGTGGAGTGGGCAGCTACAACAAACATGTAGACATTTACACAGGGTTTAACAGGTTTACTTATCACAGGGAGGAGGAGTAGACAGTTACAACATACATGTAGACATTTATACAGGGTTTAACAGGTTCACTTATCACAGGGAGGAGTAGACAGTTACAACAAACATGTAGACATTTATACAGGGTTTAACAGGTTTACTTATCACAGGGAGGAGGAGTAGACAGCTACAAAAAAAATGTAGACATTTATACAGGGTTTAACAGGTTTACCTATCACAGGGAGGAGGAGTAGACAGCTACAACAAACATGTAGACAGTTATACAGGGTTTAACAGGTTTACTTATCACAGGGAGGAGGAGTGGGCAGCTACAACAAACATGTAGACATTTATACAGGATTTAACAGGTTTACCTATCACAGGGAGGAGTAGACAGCTACAACAAACATGCAGACATTTACACAGGGTTTAACAGGTTTACTTATCACAGGGAGGAGTAGACAGCTACAACATACATGTAGACATTTATACAGTGTTTAACAGGTTTACTTATCACAGGGAGGAGTAGTAGACAGCTACAACAAACATGTAGACATTTACACAGGGTTTAACAGGTTTACTTATCACAGGGAGGAGTAGACAGCTACAACATACATGTAGACATTTATACAGTGTTTAACAGGTTTACTTATCACAGGGAGGAGTAGACAGCTACAACAAACATGCAGACATTTACACAGGGTTTAACAGGTTTACTTATCACAGGGAGGAGGAGTAGACAGCTACAAAAAACATGTAGACATTTATACAGGGTTTAACAGGTTTACCTATCACAGGGAGGAGGAGTAGACAGCTACAACAAACATGTAGACATTTACACAGGGTTTAACAGGTTTACTTATCACAGGGAGGAGTAGACAGCTACAACAAACATGCAGACATTTACACAGGGTTTAACAGGTTTACTTATCACAGGGAGGAGTAGACAGCTACAACAAACATGTAGACATTTACACAGGGTTTAACAGGTTTACTTATCACAGGGAGGAGGAGTAGACAGCTACAAAAAAAATGTAGACATTTATACAGGGTTTAACAGGTTTACTTATCAACAAGTTAAATTTTGTAATACAGAAATATAGTCGTACAGATAAAAGTCTGTTCCATGTTCTAACACCTTACTCTCTATATATTCAGACAACACACCTGATCTAGGAGCATCTTACCATCGACTCGTCTGCACCATGGATGACTACTTCCTGGATAGCCTTAGCTCTCTTCAGATTGGTCACAAAACAGCAACGCACTGCAACCAGCACATCACAATGAGAACAGAGAACAAATGATCTTTTGTGTGTTGGTGTGAATATGTATCAGTTTGACTGCTCACTATAACCCCTTACAATAAAGTAAATGATAGAGCATCAACACCAAGGATTGTGTTACGGAGAATCCTTGGTGTTTATTGAGCCCCTTAGAAACTCATAAATTTCGGTCCAACGTAGCAAATAGTATGTGTTTTCCAAAAGTGCAATATAAATGCACAGAGAAGCATTGAACATATTACACAGTATAAACAGTACACAGAATATTATTTGAGATACATGTAGATAGGAATAAAACTTCTGTACTGGAATTGTCTTATTGCAGTATTTTATTGAAGAAACAAACTCAAAAATATTTTTCAATAACTTACTCAGTGTAGGAAATTAAATTGTTTTTTGCTTCTTTTTAGACTTACCATACTTAAGGATATTTTGAATATGGTTATATTTTGGTTTATTTGGCACTTGGTGTGAAGGAGTAAAAATTAAACATACAAAATTGCACGTTGCTAAAATATATTGTCTCAGCATCCAGATATATCAGCAGACCCGTCTTTTTATTCATTATGCATCATTTACAAACTTCCATGGCCTATATAATTCTTGTAAGCAAAACTCAGAATTGCTTACTTTCAGGCAGTAATAACTCACTTCAACGATAACATGTCACTTAAGGTATGCTTTAACCCGAAGGTGTCATAGCTGTTCACCGTTTTCCTATCCGCTGTTGTATTATTTGTTTAAGTGAATTCAGGTAAGTCACATTGATATACAGTAAGTATAAGTTTACAAACATGTATTCTCCTGTGCAGTCAGGTAAAACATAACACGTACAATAGGTTGTATATTTATGGAATCTGTAAACAACTTGTGCTATACTGACATGTTTTCAGTGAATACCTGGGCTACAGATGGACAAGTTCTTTCCTACCGAAACACAATGGACTGATGGAGCCACTTTTTAACTATAGTCAATGGAATTAACCAAAATTAAGCACACAGGATCATCAAATGCCAAAATTTGAAGCACTAAATTTTAACTACCTTATTTTGTGCCAAATTTTAACAATGCCAAAACATCCGAAAGTACAGTACTTTCTTTTATAATGTGCTTGTTTCACTATTTTGAACATTTTTTTATATCTGATAATTCAAATGATTAAATTTCTTGAAAACTTAAAAGTATTTGCTTACCTTTTATATCTTCTAAAATTTGTTCATTTAAACAATCTGAAAATAAAAACATGAAATTTCTATGTAACTGTTCAGTGTACCAATGCAATAGTGTTTAAAGCATGTTGAATTTGAAAGTATCTGAAGTAATATTACTTTATACATTATGTATACCTGTAACCAGTATATAAAACATGATATCACCTGGTAGATATGAACTGATATTAATCTGTACATTATGTATACCGGTATATACATGTAAATCATGATATTACCTGGTAGATATGAAGTGATACTACTTGTACATTATGTATACCTGTAACCAGTATATAAAACATGATATCACCTGGTAAATATGAACTGATATTAATCTGTACATTATGTATACCGGTATATACATGTAAAACATGATATTACCTGGTAGATATGAAGTGATATTACTCTGAACATTATGTATACCGGTATATAAAACATGATATTACCTGGTAGACCGGACAGGGGGCATTCTTCCCTGGTATCCGTCATCACTGTCGCAGAATCCAAAAGGAGATTTTCTATTTTTCTGTTGGAAACGAACAAATTGTTTTCAAATAAACTAAATATACAAATTGGGAAAATAACAATAGCACACATTAAACAAGGTTACCGCGAGCGGTATATAATACGCCCGTCACACATTGAATGAGCAGTTGTTTGTATGATTGAAATATATGAAGTATTTGTGAGTAATTGATATTAAAAGAGAAATCATTCAACATAACTGGTAGATCAATGAGTGCAATACAACATCATGGAACGCATGCATCGCATTAATGAAACCAAGGGGAATAACTCCAATAATTACGGTCGGATAATGGCGGTTATC